TAGATTTCATGGTCCTTTCAATAAAGTGATAAACATGGTAGGTCAGCGCTAAAAAAGTTTTGCACTCGGTCCGTTAGAACATGTCCTCAGAAAATGTCTGATATCTGACCTTTCCCCCACTGCCCTTTGACCTTGGTGATGGGTTTCCTCCCCATCACACTATACACCGAATATTAAGAGCGTAGGTCGAGCCATTGAGATTTGTGCTGCAATTCCGTATTTCCTCCTATACCTTAAGTTAAGGGGGAAATATTCCCCCTCCATTGACACATCTTGACCTTTGACCCCCAATTTCGACATCCCGAGTCCTTTTAGCAATCCCCCCCGACGTCCCGAATATCAAGATCATACGTCGAGCGGTTAAGATTTGTGCCGTAACTGTTGACACACGGACGGACAGATGGACATTCATGCGATTCTACAAGCTGCATCTGACTATGTCAGATGAGCTAAAAACCCTATGACATACACAATTTACAAAGACATCAATGAACCTCTAGAACACTTGTGCAAACTACTCCCTGTTTGTTCTCTATTGGCATACGACATCCAATTAACTTCTTGTTACTACATTTTTCATGCCGAAGCCTTTACAGGTTAGAATGTGAATAAGAAATTTTGAAGAACATTGTCTAGAACTTTTATGCACATCTAGACTTCTACAGTTATAAATGAAAATTTAGATTTACAACAGTCTCCTCACTCCTCGCAAGCACACACCACAACTTTTCCGCACAACCGCCAATGACATCTCACATGGAATTCTGCTCAGCAGCAACTGAACTTCACCTTTTTAAACGAGTTACTTTTCGTGTCGCAAGCCTACCTCTTGTGGCCGACAAGAAGGGAATTCCAGGCGCTGGTGCCGAGGGGGTCGATATGGAGGCCAGTGCCTGAGCGGCCAGGCCCCATCACAAACCAACGATACGGAGGCCTTCGCCGCTCACCACAGAACTGGAATAGGTCCTCACGGAAAAACTTTGGCACATCGTAGTCCTCCAGTAAGCGCTTCTTCTTTGGATGCTGAGCCAGAAACAATAGAAGCAGATGTTACAATCATTTACGGTCACCATCAACAGCAGGTTATAGTTTCTACAAGGATGGCCATGAGCATGAAAAGTTGCAGATGAATTTATTCGGATATCGCGCAGGTAAATAATTTTGTGTGAGTGGTAGGCGATCAACCAGCCCTAGTGAATGTGGTAGGATACAATTAGCATATATAATGTACGGGGTTCTCCCCAGGAATTTTAGAAGGCATGTAGTTTATGGACAGATGGGTGAAGACTCTGGAGAGACTTAGCAGTTTTAACATGCTACAATTACACCCTCTCCACCCTGGTTTTCACCATGTCCGATAATCAAATTATTATACAAATTCCTGCAAATACACATTGTATCCAAAATTTTGAAAACAAACAGGTTCCTCACCTCACCAAAGCTGGAATCAAATATGTAAAGTGGGCTATCGTCTGTGGTCGTCATCATATACTCAAGATAATACTTCATCTTCATTTTGACACTGTATCCTTCATTATCCTCTCCGCACTTGAAGCGCTGATTTCTATATTTCTTGGCCAACTTCTGTAGCACACAAAAAATCGGTCATCGACCTGTGAGCTTTCTCACAGTCTACTGCAATTCAAGTCAAGCATCACTGTGCTTAGGACAGAAGCTGCTTACGAAACCACGAATGCACATTTCATTTGTTCAGTGGCACTTTCAGTAAATGTTTAAGCAAATGGCCAGAATTCGGCTTCGACACACAAAGTCGGCATACCTAATAGGTTCACGTTTCACGTCAACTTATCCCTATTCATTTGTAAACACTACTAAAAAAATCCAGCAGGAGAGTTTATAGCAATTTGTCAAGCATTCAATTTCTTCTGCTTTTAGAATAAAATTCACATCGTACTAGTAATGACATTTACACACTGACAAAGACAAAATTATAATCCAGACTTATGAGATTTTGATACTAACCTCTAGTGTCCATTTTCTGTTGGCTCTCCAGTCACTCGTAGCATTAGAAATGACAACAGGTTTGTAGGTCTTCTCATATTTGTCACGAAATTCCTCGATTGTCATCGAATTTGTATCGATTCGTTCAACAGTGTCATTAACACTGCTTAGACCAAGATCAAATGTCTTCGCATAATTCAAGTACGTCCATAGGCCACCTTCTAGCTCTGTAACATTACATTAGGTTTATATAAAATCCATTCACTTTCATATTATTATTACACATTTTTGTTTATACAGAAAAATGGAACGTGTTAACACCCAAACTCTAAAATTATAGGTCAGTCATCATAAGCAACAATCATGTAAGGGTGGTCTAATATATGACAATCACGTTAAACAACTAGTCTTTATTACCTGGTCTGGCCTTTTTCTTTGCTTCTCTAATACGCTTCCTTGCCTTGCTGTCTAGCAGTTGATTCTCCATGTCATCTGGCCTTTTAATTTCAATCTGAGAATGTATATTGTTACACCAATAAATTTTTTTACAATTTATCATGTCAAGATATCACTCTTAAAGCTAACATTTGTAGAATGTTCAAACTAACAGATGTACATCTGTGTATATTTAAATTATGAAAACTGCCATGAGAAAATAGTAGAACATAATCACTGTGGCTGGTGTCAAGTTATATTATATAGCCTGTTCTTGGGTTTGCAACATATAACTAATATTGAAAGATTCATAATACCATATTAAGGACAAAACAAAATATAGGTGTGGTTACGGTTTCCCGACCGACCCTATTTATTCCCAGCGACCCTAAACAACTTTAAACCAACCCCAGCGACTTTAAAGTCAAAAAAATAAAAATATAATAATAATAATATGAATTGGACAGTTCCTGCTTCAAAAGGCACAACGCACATCCTTCGAACATGGTTCGTAAATAAAATATTTCAAGAAAATAAAATATTTTCCCTACCTACCTAGTACCTACCCTATTTTTTTTCAGCATGTAACGGTAACCACACATATATTTTGTTTTGGCCTAATCCAAAACAATTTGATTTCTTAGATGGTACCCAATAGGGTTTCACTTTTGTATTTTTCGTACTTTGATATTGGTATTAGGCCTATCTATTGTTGTTCACAAGTGACTCTCCCTCATAGATTGTTCCTAGAAGTGCCATAGAGACGAGTGGTTGGTCTTGTTATAGAGAAGAAAGAATGCTGTTTAATGCAACACTATGAACACATTCTAGTCTTGCATAGAATAAGTTAAGAAATATTCCCCCTCCGTTTACACATCTTGACCTTTGACCCCCAGCTTCGACATCCCAACTCGTTTTACCCCCCCGAATATCGTGACCGTATGTCGAGCGGTTTAGATTTGTGCCCAACTGTTGACGGACGGACGCACGCACGGCCGGACGGACACACGACCGGACGCACGGATGCACGCTCATGCGATTCTACAAACTGCATCTGACTATGTCAGATGAGCTAAAAAACCATCAACTGGTGGGTAGCAGTTGGCAATTTCCAATTTCCATCCTAGTGGCATCTACATGTATAGGCTTTTCTGTCAGAAATAACACAAATGTGTTTACGCATGACAGAACTAGTTGTATGTGTCACGTTATAAAACGGTAGAAGATTTGTACAACAACAATATTTATCCATATTATTATTTCAAAGTGACAAACCTAATAAAGTTTTAATAAGAAAATAGTCAGACACAGTGAGATAAAAACTATGATTTTCGTAGATTCCAATTTTTGCAAATAAAAATCCGTTACAAAACACATTCACATAATAGCTATAAAAACACACACGCAGCTTAACTGATATGGAAGATTTATTAATGTAATCCTTTGGTAGCAAAACATTGACAGAGTGTGCATCGCTGCATAAAGATTATAAGTAGCAGCATAAGCACATCACTATCTGCTGCACTCAGTGGAAAAAACCTACTGATGCAAAATTAATAACACAGACAGGAATGAAATTGAGAGGATGACAGATACAAAACATCGGGCATTTAAACATTATTTTCCTTGCACAACCCTGCCGTGATTTCGGATGCCCTTGACTCAGACAATTTGATCTAGCATATCACACAAGGCATTAAATAATACACGAGTACATCAGATACACGATTACCTTGCACCGCAATAGTGCATAATATCAAAATTATATCACTACTGTAGTGATATATGTTTGGTATGACTGTATTACGTATGAAACTTCCACTATACTACGCATTTCGATTTTATAGAATTCAGTTTATCAAAATTGTGGACTGGCGATGATAAACAGTTCAGCATTTTCAAGGAAGTTCAAGTGAATCTTATCATTAGGTTTAGACAAACAGTTTTTACCACACACAGGCCCACCATGTGTTATTAATTATTTAGCAATCACATTATCATTCTAAATTGAAAATATCAACAAACGATACATGCGTGTATATCATATAAAACAAAATAGCTACCAAAAGCATATGAATCAGTTATCCAGCAGTTCAGAACTACTTCTGGTAATCGCAATTCACTAAGAATTGCTTCTGGCAGCAGTCACTCCTACCAATACCGGATAGCTGTATATCAGACTACATCGTAAGCTGTCAATCTGTCTCTCTGAATCATTTTATGTGGCACAGTGAGTCACCTGAAGTTAGATGTGACGATCAATCGCGTCAACTGTCAACCTTGTGTTCCGACTTCGGGCGTTTAGGTGTGTGAGAGCGTGAACGACTGTGGCTCCGGTGCTCAGTGAAGTATCTATAATAAATTATCAATATATCCGGTGAATAGCATCTAGGTGCCATTATTTAATGTCACATATTAAGTGTACCCTGGGGGACATAGACCCTCTCAGCGAAAGTTGCATGCCTATGCATTAGAGTTAGAATAAGTAAACTGCAGTAAAGGCTGTAATAAGCATAGGCCCTAATCGGGTTAGGTAGTACGCAAGTAGGGCAAAATTAATCCATACCACCAGGAGTCCACTCGCACTATTACTATTTAGTATTACTATTAGGATTACTTGTAGGGTCTATGTCCCCCTGACCTCTGTTTGACCTGGCTCGTTTGGCTATTTCTGACTAACCCTAACCCTATATATCTCCTGATATTATATATATTAGTCAGAAATAGCTAAACGAGCCAGGTCAAACAGAGGTCAGGGGGACATAGACCTTATCTGCATTAGTATTAGTATTAGTTAGTGATGGGAATCGGCTGGAATTTCATAATCGATTATCGGTTTCCCTTAACCGATCGATAATCGATTATAATCGGATAATCGGATAATCGGTTAATAATAGCATAGATTTAATTTAATCTTACTTTGTATATACAATTATACATAGCATTCAATATTATCATGTTTTATGATCATTTAACTCTGTGAAGGTTGCTGTATGTATATCAATGTCTGTTCCTATACAGTATTTAATCAATTTAAAAAGAAATGGTTTAAATGCCTTTATTAAAACATTAACAGTTTTAAACAAACATGATCAAGACTTGTTCTTTATTATAGTAAGTAAGTTGTTTGTGTTCTAATAGACCCCTTGCAGTCACATCCCGTTTTTACCAAGTGCTCGGATGCGCCGCCATGTTGGAAGCATAGTATGATAGTAAACAAGGGGAATGGAGGGATCACACGCACACACACACACACACACACACTCACACACACTCACACCACTGACATCACTGCCTTGTGATTCCTCCCGAGTTAACCGCCAAGCCAGTGATGATAACACCTGGTGTTACTGTGGGCAAGTGGAGTCCTCAGTCCGGAAGAATGATTGGTTGTGACAATCAAAACTGTAAACTCAGCTGGTTTTACTACACGTGTTTACAGATTACTTCGGCACCAAAGGGCAAATGGTTTTGTCCAGATTGTAGAAAAACAATGGCTCTCATTAAACGCAAAGTTACCAAACCGTGCCCGTAACTCGAAATATGTGATGTAAATAAAAATTGTGATATTGCTGTAGTTTACTGTTTAGATTAAAATGAATTGTATTGCATCGTAGTGTCATGTTTCACGAACTTGTTTCTAACAGTGTTGTTTCTAGCATCTATAAGAAAGTTTCTTGGAACTAGTTTTCATCGTGATTACTAATTAGTAGCATAGACATAGTGGTGTTTCAAGACTTGTTTATTTAGTACTTATCTGGTAGACCGTAATCAGGTTGCGTGGAGTTGGAGCGAGGGAAGATGGAGGCAGAGACAGAGAGGGAGGACAGAAAAGCAGACAGAGAGTGCGAGAGAGGAGAGGGGTGATGAGGGAGGAAGACAGAGAAGAGAGCGAGAGGAGGTGAGAGGAGGAGAGACAGTAGAGAAGAGAGCGAGAGCTGGGGAGGGGAGAGACAGAAGAGAGAGAGAGAGGAGGAGGAGAGGGAGGAACGGCTGAGAGAGCAGGGAGGAAGAGAGAGTGGGGAGAGAGAGAGGGAGGAAGATGGAGGAGGGAGGATGAGACAGCAGAGGGAGGAGGAGAGAGGAGAGACAGAGACGGGGGAGGAGGAGAGGACAGGAGAGATGAGAGGAGGGCTGGAGAATTAGTGAGCAGAGAGAGAGAGAGGAGGGGGGGAGAGGGACAGGAGAAAAGAGAGAGAGAGGGGGAGGAAGACAGAGACAGAGAGGGAGGAGCCCGAACACGCAAGAGAGAGAGAGGAGAACAGGAGACAGAGCAGGAGAGAGCAGAGAGAGAGAAGAGAGGGAGGAGAGACCGAGGGGAGGAGCCGACAGAGAGAGAGAGAGGGAGGAGAGACCGGAGGAGGAGACGAGAGAGAGGGGCATGGAGGCTAGAGACAGAGGCCAAGAGCAGGAGGAGGAGGAAAAGAGCAAGAGGGAGGAGGAAAAGAGCAAGAGGGAGGAAGAGGAGAGACAGAGAGCGAGAGAGGGGGAGGAAGAGACAAGCAGAGAAGAGAAGAAGAGGGGAGGAGGAAAGGAGAAGACAAGACGAGAGAGGGCGGATTGTCAGGGAAGCAGACAGAGAGAGGAGGAGGAGACAGAGAAGAGAGAGAGATGGAGGAGGAGAGCCAGAGGAAAGAAGGGCGGAGGATAGACAGAGAGAGAAGAGAGGGTAGGAGGAGATGACACACAGAGAGAGAGAGGGAGAGGAGAGACCAGACCAGTGAGAGAGAGAGGAGGAGAGACAGAGAGAGAGGAAGAGAGGAGGAGAGACAGAGCAGAGAAGGAGGAGAGCAGAGAGAGAAGAGAGAGAGACGACGTAGAGACGAGGAGAGAGAGATGAGAGAAGAGGAGACAGAGCCAGAGAAGAGGAGAGAAGAGAGAGAGGAGAGAGAGCGGAGGAGAAAGACAGACAGAGACGCAAGAGCGGAGGAGAGAGAGCCGAGAGCACAGAGAGCAAGAGGGAGGAGGAGGAGCAGGACAGAGAGAGAGAGATAGGGAGGAGGAGGCAGGAGCAGACAGATAGAGAGAGAAGAGAAAGGAGGAAGAGGAGCAGGACAGCAGAGAGGAGAGTCGAAGAGAGAGAGAGCGTAGGTAGAGACAGAGAGACACGAGAGCGGAGGATGAGTAGAGACAAGACCGAGAGAGCAGGACGACGAGAGAGATACGAGGGAGCGAGAAAGGTAGGAGAGACAGAGCAGGAGTGAGAGCATGAGAGAGAGATGGGAGGAGGAGAGACAGAGCAGCCAGAACGAAATTGACTTTGACCAGGTTATAAGTCTCAACTTCATAAGCGTCATCATGAAACATTTGAAAATCTGGAACAGAGAAGAACGCTAGGTTAAAAAACCTGCTCCAATGAAGAACTATATAAACAGTACAGTCCAATAAAAAGTCGGTAGCCCCTTGTGAAATATTTAACTGTCTTATCATCATTTCCCTCAAAATCATTCTTCAGTGAAACGCTCTCGCTGTGCTCATCTTGGCCTCTTCAAACTCAAATGTTTTCCGTTCTTAGAGTCTGTAGCTCAGATCATGATTGCCGATCCATACCAGAGGTCCAGTAACATCCTGTCTGGGTGTGAACGCACTCTCCTCTGTGAACACTTTCTCACCATGTGCTCCCTGATTAGTTATAACTAGCAGTAGTTCGAAAGAATTTCTTTATCCTTTTTCCCTATCAGATCGCGTAGTAGATCCGCTATCCTAGCAATAATTCACCATTTTTCGTGTGATAAATGTTGGAGAATCTCTCTTAAACTTGAACTCCCACGCTTGTAACCACGTCGCACCGGGTCGCCAACCAATGATGCCAACATAGGCCCGCCTTTGTTTTGATGACGTCACGTGCAAGGGGTCTTATAGACATGATTATAATATCATATTTATTTTCTAAAATATGCAGCCATTTACTACAGACAGACTAGCAATTACTGGCTGACAATTCTCACCATAAGGTTGGAAATCATGAAGCACACCTTCACAATTCTTCCACCGAGAGAAAATCTTCTTGATGGGGCAGGTCTCTTTTTAATATTTTAACTGTCTTGCCTAGACCAATGACCCTCTCACATGAATCCTCTTAGATGGCACTTACTGATGGTGTAATAATATTAGTTGGTTCACCGTGCTTGCGGTGAGTGTGCGCAGACACATCGTGAAGTTGTCGTGAATGACTTACACTCGCGTTACTACAAAGCTAACGCTGACACTCGCGGGTTTTTCCCTCAACAAGTTGCATCGACCCCGCGAACAAGCTTCGGCATCGATTTTGTACACCGGTGTCTAGCCACCGTTGGCAGGACAACGGCTCGTTAGACTAGTACGGTATAAGCGAAGTGATATGTTATCTCGAACTTATTTGTGTTTCAGTGTATAGGCACTGGCGTTTAAATCCGCACGTAGTGATATTAGTTTAGCGTATATTCCGGTGGCGTTGATGTCTTTACGCGCCAATCGCTGCGCCGATGATACTTCGAGTCTGTGATCGGACGCGAACGTGCTGCTGTTGCCGTGTTTGTTAATGTGTTAATTGCTTGTTTAGCAAGCGTTACCTAATAAATATTAAACTTACTTCCTACTTCCTACTTATTACTTCTCACTTCGTGACCTGCACCCCCCCCTTCGTACCTCTTCTCACGGGACGACCGTAACTCCCCCCCCCCCCCTTTTCCGGACGCTCAGGTGTTTGGCCTTGCCTCTTGCCTTGTCGCGATCTTTGTGATCGAACTCGTAAATAACGGGGTGGTAACGGCCCTATCAGGGTGCGCGACACAACAGCAACCGGACCTATAGCACGGCCAATGGTAGTAGTCAAGTAAAGGAGAGAGGGAGAGAGAAAACGTTACAGTGGTGCCGTGAGCAAGGATCGCGGCGTGGGCAGGACGAGCAATGGAAGGAGAGGCAGGTAAAGTGGAGGACGGTCAGGCTGTCAGCCCAGCAGTAGTAGCGGAGAAGGAGACGCCTCGGCGGCCGCCACGGAGCATCGATGGGCAACTGCGGTCAGTGCGGGAGGTGGCGAAATCTGGGGAAACCAGTTCCGGGGGAAAATGCGGCAGCCGCTGTACTGTCCGAGGCTCTTCAGGCGATCAAGCAGATGTTAAGGAACCTTCTAAGTAGTGGGGGACCCAGCGTCCAACGGCCGGCGCCTCCTAGCAGCGGCAGGGCCGGATATCGTAAGAGAGGGTCCAATGGTCAGGGACACAGACACGAGTGCGGAGAGGTGGTCAATTTCGCGCGACAGTGCCCGGAACGGAGGAGACGCCGGCGAAAGGAGCTCGACCATTATGGGCCACAGCAGTACAGAGAGAATTTGATTGCACAGCGTAATGAGCTGCAGGCGATACAGAACGTCATGCAGCATGCGCACGACAAACATGTGCAGCATGTGGAACAGATTCAGAGTCAGATACAGACGCAGCAGGGGCAGGACACGCGTCATCACGTGATAGAGACGCTGGGACAGGACAACTCCAAGCTGAAGCAGGAGAACGACCGATGCCAGCGTCAGATATCTCAGCTGACGGCCGAGGTGCAGAGTCTGCGGGCTGAGCGCACGAACATGGCGGTGCGGGGACCTACTACCAGGAGAAGTTCATGCAACCGGAGAGAGCCAACCATGAGATGGAGGGCAGCATCTCTCAGCGTACGGAGGTTGAGCACACGCTGCAGCGGCGGCTAGCTGAGGTAACGGAGCAGCTACATAAGGAGCCTGAGCAGCATGTGACGGCCGACTCCGAGCTAGCGAAGGCCAACGCACTCACGACGCCCGCCCAGGAGGAGTCGACGAAGCTGAAGAACCGATTAAACTCCCTGCAGAGCAGCGAGACAGAGCAGCTACAGATGGTAAAGGAGCTGGAGGGAAAGCTACAGGAGCAGGTGCATATGCAGTCAGAGCTAGAGAACAAGGTGCAGGACATGCAGCGGCAGATGGATGCAATCATGCTTGACCTACGGAACTAAACGAAGCCAATGAGAAGCTGTTGTCGCAGGTCCGGCGATCGGAAGGAGAGGGACAAGAGGATGCTGTCCAGAGTGTCAATGGCGACCACGTCGACGACACGTTGAAACAATTAAACAAGGTCCAAGAGTTTGAAGGAATCGTGGCAGAGAAGGACAAGCACATTGTGATGCTGCAGGGGGCCCGGATGTCAGGACACCTCGGGGCACTGAAGACGCTGGAGCGGGTGCGTCAGATGTTCATGTGGCCGGGGATGCGGGCCGACATTAAGAGGTGGTGTCAGCAGTGCGATGTGCGCCAGGGGGAAAGGAGGGAGGAAGCGCCGTGCGGGACTTCGGCAACAGCCGGTGGGTGCACCAATGGAGGCGGACGCATGACCCCCAATGGACTTCACGTCTTCGCCAGCCGACAGCAAAGAAACAGAAGTGGAGGTGGGGACACAGCAAGGAACTGCTGGGGCTGAGTGTGAGATGCCTGTCGACCAAGAGCCGGCCGACGCCGACGCCAACGATGGTGAGTCGGAACAGTGCGATGCACGACCCCCAGCAGACTTGACGCCCTCGCCGGCCGACAGCGAAGGAGACAAAGTTGGGAAAGCGGGCATGGCAGACGAGAAAGACGTCCCCAAAAAGACGTAAAAACATGTGAGACCGGTTACACCGGCCGAGTTGGAGATAGCATTTGGACCGTGCCCGGCCACGTGCGCGCGGGGGGAGGGGGTGCTGGAATCTCCGATCGCCGTACGCGTATTCGTTAAAACGTGCCCAACGACGCTGTGCGACTGATTGTCTTCTAACCCCTTCTCTCTCTCTCTCTCTCTCTCTCTCTCTCTCTTTTTCTCTCTTTCTCCTACTCCCCACGGTCTCTCTCTCTTTCTCCCATTCCCCACGGTCTCTCTCTCTCTCTTTTTCTTTCTCCCACTCCCCACGGTCTCTCTCTCTCTCTCTCTTTCGCTTGCTCTCGCTCTGCGTGTCAGACCGCATGGTATGCCGCGCACTGCGCAAAAACTCTTATCTCTCGTTCGCTTTCTCTCCCACTCCCACGGCCGCTAAGTGTAAAAACTCGCACTGCTGCTGAAAAACTCGCGCGCGCGGTGTTCGTAAAAGCATATGTGATTGACATCACACTTTGTTCGGCAACGGACGACGTGATCGCCTAGCGGGCAATGAGCGAGCACGTGGTCGCTGATTGACAGCATTTCTTAGGGTTTCTTGTAGGAGCCACTACACGTTAGCCGTGAGGCGCGCCACCCCAAAAATTTTCTAGGGGCCGTTTAGAGAGGGCCTCTAGCCGTCGATCGCGAAATTTCGGTTGGATTCCGCGTGTTGTTTGTTTTCAGACCCCTGTCTAACATATCTGTCTAAGTGGACAAAAAGGGGGCGGCGTATTTGCTGTGGGGGCGCGGCTTCGCCGCGCGCTGTGGGCTGCGTGCAATAACCGGGATCGCAAGTCCGTCCAGATGAGATGGGATACCAGAGAAGTGTTGCCGAAAGGAGGTGTTGATCCTAACCGCTGAGCGCACATGTTGCGCGCAGTTCCGCGGTAAGGCGCACGCGACCGCGGGAACGTCTATACGACAGTATGCAGCGCTGGCAGCTATAGATCCGTGCGCCGAATGCATAGGTCGGCGCACGGATCCATAGCTGCCAGCGAACAGTCCGCAATTTTAGCAGGGGACACAGAGAGCAGACATTTGGGACGTGGAAGGAACTAGCGACTTACATGGGGGTCGTACAGATGGGGGGGGGGCAACAGCGAAGCTTTTGACTTCGCCGTGGTTCCATTTCTGTGTGGTCTTAGGCGTTTTCACTATAAGTTGCAAACATAAAAAGTTCCAAACATAAGAAAAATCGGACCATTATTGAATGGAAAATTTTATAAAATAGTGATACGAAATAGTACGCGGATTGTGCGCCCAGTTACCTCTTTCAAATCATACGCTGTTTAAGAATCACCATTCGCTGCATTTCCCCGGATCTCCGCCCACTTTAAAAACAGTGCTAGCACTGTGGCAGTGGAATCCTGAGTGTACGAATAGTATTTTGATTTTCGATTTTCGATGACAGCAGGCTAAAGTGCAGCATTTGAATACAGAATCAAGAGAGAAAGCCATTGATGAATGGAACTGGTTTATTGGCAACTGCTCTTACGATCAGCCATGCTGCTGACTCTGGTGACTCTGGCGCCATCTGTCGTTACAAACATTACAACATTGAGATGTTGGTGATAACATGAATACAGTATTGTCACATCCTCTCCTATTTAAAACATGAGAAATGGTGCTTTTGGTAAACTGACCGAAAAGACTAAAATAGCCTAATACTGTGTAATATGAAAACACACATTGGCAAATCATACACAATATGGCCAATCAAGATATGAGTGACTATTCTGGACCTAAAAATGTATAATCATCAATCAAATGATCCTATAAAACAAAACTAACAAATAAGAATTATTTCACTCCAGCTTGGTCTACAACGTTTATGAATATTACTTTGTTTTACATCACAATGCATATCCATGTACAATAACACATTCACAAAAACTACCATTCGGTAAGAGAAAACTCACATGAGTTTAAACTACTCAAAACAACTCAACAGTGCATAGCCTATGTAAAATAACTCCACAACCATGCAAATCTAAGATTGCACACCTCACAAAAACAAAATGTGCTTCCTTAAACACAAATACACATATATGTCAAAAACAATATCAGACTATCCGTACTTCAAATCATGAGATCCTAGTTCTTTAGCTATCTCTACAACCGATAAATATTCCAATCGGTAATCCTTATTCCTTTACTTTTTTTAACAAAAAAAAACATCCGCAATTTTTAACAAAAAAAAACATCCGCAAAGCAAATATGAAAAACTTCCCCTTTTCATGTAACGTATCTGTGTCGCATTTCTTATTTTGTTAATACATAACAAAATCTTTCATCTTGTCTGGGAGATGTCGGTGTCTTCCTGAACGTCTCAATGAGTTCGACATATTAGGTGGTTTATTCCCTACATCTTCATGGACACAGTCTTGACCTTGTTGGTGATAATCATCAATAGTATTATGTGAAGTGGTGTCTCCAACCGGCTTGTCTGCCGGTGGGAGTGTACCTTGAGCGTCCGTAGTCGGGTTGCTTCCCTCAGGTCTGGGGCCAACTGGAGATCTCTCTGAGTCAGGAGATTCTTTACTTGCTCGTAGATGTTCTCTATTGCGTCTGTACACCGCGCCATCAACATCCACTTCAAAGGACCTCTCATCCAAACGACGAAGTACCCTTCCTTTTTTCCAACGATCCTCTCCTGGTCGAAACGGCTTCATCCTGACAACGTCGCCTTGAACAAGTTCAGGCAGCTCCTTCGCATGCCTATCGAAGTATTTGGCCTGACGCTTCTTGTTAAGCTCGAGTTGTTGCATCTCGTGCTTAGTCTCGTGACTCCTCGGCTTCAGAAGTGAGGCCGTAGTTGGGACTCTTGTCTTAGTACGCCTTCCGAGGAATCTCTGTGAAGGGCTGGAGTCGACCCCTTGCGTAGGAGTGTTCCTCAAATTCAGCAACGCGAGAAGTAGATCTTCACCAGACCTCCGACATTTCTTCATGACTTTCTTCGCTGATTTGACTGCCGACTCAACATGCCCATTCGCTTTGCTATTATAGGGCGAGATGGTTTGGTGTTTAATATTCAACCTCTTTATGAAGCTTGCAAACTCTCTTGACGAGAACGGAGGTCCATTATCGCTTACCATCTTATCCGGGATCACATACCTAGCGAAATGGTTGGTCAACTTGTTGATCACACTCTTCGCAGTCGACTTATACAATCGATCAACTTCCCAGAAGTTAGATCTATAGCAAACTGTCACTAAGTACTCTTCACCCTCCAAAAACATAAGATCAACTCCGATCTTCTCCCATGGCCGGTTGGGTACCTCATGTGACATCAGAGGCAGTTGAGGTTGGGCATTTGAGTACTCCATGCATGTTGCGCATGTCTGAATCCATTCAGTTATTTCTTGGGCCATCTGCGGCCAATAGACATATTCCCGTGCTCGTCTGAGAGTCGCTTCCACTCCACTATGGCCTATATGGAGATCAGTCTTGACATCTCTTCTCATTGCCTTGGGAACTACAAGTCGCTCTCCTCTGAAAATTAAGCCATCAACTACAGTGAGCTCATCTCTCAGGTTGAAATATGGTATTACGTGTGGTGACAGCTGTGCCTTACACTCAGGCCATCCAGTCATGATAGTACTTTTCAATGCTTGTAAGCCCTCATCCTCACACGTGTGCTTTCTCATCTTGGGAATGTTTTCTTCTGGCAGAGACAGATGACTAAATGTTTTCTTCTGGCAGAGACAGATGACTAACTGCATTTACCAGCTCGATGTCTTCCTGGCCGTCATGGGACTTCAGGAAGGACCGACCTAGGGGATCTGCCAAATGGTTTTCTTTCCCCTTGATGTACTGCACATCAACATCATATGCTAGAGCTCGTAGCAATAAACTCTGGAGCCGTTTTGGTGCTCTATCCAGCGGCTATCTTATGATGCTGTGGAGAGGCATCTGGTCTGAGAAGACTGTTACCTTGCGACCGAAAGTGAACTGATTCCACTTTTCAAGGGCGTACACTATGGCTAGCAACTCTTTTTCTATGACAGAGTAGCGAAGTTCTGCGTCTCGCAATGCTCTACTGGCATACGCTACCGGCTTGCCATCTTGAGTCATAACAGCACCCAGTCCCCTTGCACTAGCATCAGTGTGAATTACAAGGGGCTTTGTCTGGTCGTAGTACATCAATATTGGCGCTTCAGTCATAAGCTGCTTCAGCTCCTGCATTGCCATATCATCAGGAGTCTATCAATAGGAGTGAGACAGACTGAAACCGGCAAAATTCAACATTTAGTTGCCTTAGTCTACCTATGATTTATTGTGTTTAACTCGATAAACTTGAGCTCAAATCTTACCTTAATCATTAAACTAATGCCGTGTCTAATCGTTGGTCTCACAAATATGACAAATCGGGAGATATCGGTCCAAACGTACAATGTGGTTTTTGAAAGTTATACCGCATTTTCAACAACTGTGAACCGAAACATAAGGGCAATGCTTTTGAAAGCCCGCTATCGCTTAGCAATGCAAACATAGCAAACTAGCGAGGTTTGTCAGGGATTTCGGAAAGTTAAACACGCCTTGTTGTTATTATAGGCCATGTCGAATGACAGTAATTACATGTTATGAACGATATTGTTAAGAAAAAATAAAATGGATAAAAATACTAAACATGTGAAATTTTTTATTTCTAATCAAGAAACAAGAAGTATCAATAACACCAAGTCGTGTTTAACTTTCCGAAATCCCTAGCAAACCTCGCTAGTTGTTTGCTATGTTTGCATTGCTAAGCGATAGAGGGCTTTCAAAAGCATTGCCCTTATGTTTCGGTTCACAGTTGTTGAAAATCGCATACCTTTCAAACAACCACCATTGTACGTTTGCGACCGATATTCCCGATTGTCATTTTGTGTCACGACAACGATTAGACACGGCACTTTACTTTAATGATTAAAGTCAATTTGACCTCACTTATCGAGTTAAACACAATCAAATCATAGGTAAGACTAAGGGCCCAAACTAATATGTGAATTTTGCCGGCTTTCAATCTGCTCTTACCTCCTAATGATAGACTCCTGATATCAATGCTTTGGCCCCATCCAAGTCCATTCAGCATCTTACCGAGAGTTCGTTCAACGGTGCATCACATCTGCCAATCTGGAAGAAACCGATAGGTAATTTACCATTCTCGAAGTCGATCAATATCATCTTTGTTTCTGTGGGACTCCATACGAAGTATGGCCTCAGTTTTCGATGGGTACTCACTTCAACCATTGCGTGAGATGACATGACCAGGAAATGGATCTCGCTAGTCGGAACTACACTTGTCCCTGTTGAGTACGACTCCAATCTCCCGACACCTTCGAAGTAGGCTGCAAAGACGACTATCATGCTCCTTCACATCAGCGCCCCAGACGATGATGTCATCTGCAACACAACGTACGCCATCCAAGCCATCAAGCGCTTGATGCCCAGTACGCTTGAACACCTCACTGCTAATATTCAGGCCAAATGGGAGCCTCTTGTATCTATATCTTCCCCACGGCGTAGCAAATGTCGTTAGCAAGCTTGACTCTTCATCTAGACGACAGTGAAGGTACCCATCCTTCAAATCACAGATGGAAAAAACCTTTGCCTGTGACAGCTGGGGTAGAATGTCATCTAGCACTGGCAATGAGTAGTGCTCTCTCATAAGCACTTGATTCAAAGGTCGAGGATCTAGACAGAGACGCACCTTCCCAGACTTCTTCTGGACTATGGCCATTTGGTTTACCCAATCGGTAGGTTCTGTCACTTCTGAGATAATCCCTCGGCTCACCAACTCATCCAGTTCCGCTTTCACTTTGTTCCTAAGTGCTTCCGGAACTACCCTAGCTGGTCTTACTGTTGGTCTTGCATCCTCTGTCAGCGTCAAATGGATCTTCTTTCCCTGCAAACTGCCAACCTTTGAGCAATCAAACACCTCAGGATATTCATCCATCACATCTTGAGAGTACACTAAGTTCACTGTCTCAAAGTTCTCATAGTGGACAGTGAGAAGCTTCATCTGTTCTGCTGCATGCCCACTCAGAAGAGGTGTCAATCCATCTTCTCTGACTACAATGCAATGTACCTTGTACTTCTTGCCAGTCTTGTCATTCTTCACTCTGATTTTGGCTCGCCCCAGAGCTGGGACGGTTGAGCCATTATACATCTTCAAGATAATTTTCTGTCTGACAATATCTGCATCAGAAACCATTCCTCTGTGGACCACATTTACGCTGGCTCCGGGGTCTATTTGAAACATCTCTTTCGTGAAACATAAAGTCCTTTCTTGGGCTTTGTCTGTGTGGCATATACTTCATTGCACTTGATGGACTCTGTATCTGATGAAGATTGACTGGAATGTTCTTCACATACTTTATGTAGTTTACCCGGCTGGTAACTCTTTTGCCTACAGCAAACCGCGAAGTGGTTTTTTCTGTGGCATTTATTGCACTCTTTCCCGAATGCTGGACACTCTTCCTTCTTAGCGTTGTGTGTCCTGTTACAGAACTTGCAGTTCAATTGTCTCATCTTAGGCGGCTCTCGTGTTTCTTGAGTCTTTTTTATCTGACCCTTTTTCTTAAACCTTTCTACCTTATGTATCACCGGTTCGTCTCCAATCATCTGCAACTGAGTACGAGCCTGCTCAAAAGACTTGCAGATATCTACTGCATCTGGGAGCTTCAAGTCCCTCTTCTGCAAAAGCCTTTTTCTTGTGGCAGAATCAGAAATGCCAAGTATGATGCGGTCACGAATCAGACTATCTTGAAGACATGTACAAAAATTACAGGTCTTCGCCAGCTCTCTCAAGTCTGCTACATAAGCCTCAATGCTTTCTCCTGGACATTGATCCCGCTTATTAAAAATGAAGCGTTCGTAGGTCTCATTCGTCTGACCCACAATCAGTTCTGACAATTTTTTAATGATAATCTCTATATCATCTTTGTCTTCACCCTGTGCATACGTTAGGCTGTTGAATACCTTTAACCCTTCCGATCCTAACGTATGCAACAAAACTGCCTTCTGGTATTCTTTAGGCTTCTTAGACAATTCAGTGATGATAGCGTAGTTGCTAAACATTTGCTTAAAAATCTTCCACTCATCAACCCTATCCTCCTTTACTCTAAGAGGAGGTGGTGGAGTAACATAAACGTTATTGGGTGGTGCCTGTGCCATATTGCTTTACACCGAATGCTCTAGAACTACATGTAATAGTAATGCATACACAGTTAACAGTCATGAAACAAACCTTAACTTTTGCACAACGACATGTCACAACGACGACAACGTTAAACGAACGTAATGTCACAAACCTTAATGCATAACACACATTAATAGAGGGATATCATGCGCTGCTCATTACTGTGGACATTGTTCATGTACATGTATGACAACAATTATCAGGTACATATCTTGACACATTGTGCAACAGTGCAAATAATATACACACCGAACCTACACGTATGCTTGTTTACAAGTATCTCTGCCAAACCATGCATTGTAAATATACGTGGCAACGAATGTGCAATACAAATTATCAGCAGCTAACTATAGCATAGGCATGCAACTACGTTCTAGTTCCTTTCAAACCATTTATGATGTCTCGCCGGATCACAAAAGTCACTTAAACCGTTCATTCAGTAGGCCCTAGGAGAAGTCACTTGCTCTCAGCTTCAGGCACTCTCCACAAGGTAGACGATGAATGATTAACAGGTACTTCAAACAGTCCAACCGTTCATTAGCACTGTAGCAGATGCAGTCACTTGCACTCCGCGTCTCTGCACCTGCTCGGCGGCGAATCTCGATCATGCACCTCTACACCGGCGTCGCGAGTGGGAGTGACGTCTTGAGAGAGAGTCTATCCACTTTTCGCACGCCAGTTTTGGTCAGCGAATGCCCAAACCAACATTGGCATTTAGACTCCCTGCTTCGCCATCACTGCACGGCCGCCTGCTTGCTGCTGCTGTATGTACCGCCAGCTGATCCGGGAGAACAAAGGAATTCTGGCGGGCTGCACTCCATTCCATTTCTCTTTACTTTACTCATGTCCCTCCAGCATGAATCCTTTTATGAACTGGGTAAAATTGGTCTTTGATCACTTACACCGCTGCCACCATGTTACATTACGTGTTGTGTGAGTAATCAAAAGAGAAAGCCTTTGATGAATGAAACTAGTTTATTGGCAACTGCTCTTACGATCAGCCATGCTGCTGACTCTGGTGACTCTGGCGCCATCTGTCGTTACAAACATTACAACATTGAGATGTTGGTGATAACATGAATACAGTATTGTCACAATATGCACCCCTAGTCCGCAAATGCAGACGTTAACTCCGCTTTGCTAATCGGAGGGTGCGGATTTATCATCACCCCCATTACTGGGGTCTGCGGCGGCTCGGACTAATGCCCCACTGCCATTGTCATTGTCAGTATGAGGAACTAGCTAGAGTAAATAAATTGCTTGCTATATAAGCGGAGGGTTGTCTAGTAATAGTATAGAGGTATTCTAATTCTAGCAAAGACCGTTTGTTAGAGCTAGTAATAGTACTAGCTCTAGTATTATACTATATAGTATTAGTACTATAGTAGTAGCTCTGGTACTATAGTAGTAATTAGTAGTAGGAGTACTGGTAGTATTAGTAGTCTAGTAGTAGTAGTAGTAGTAGTAGTAGTAGTAGTAGTAGTAGTACTGGGGGGTAGTAGATAAGTATAAGTACTAGTAGTAGTAACTAGGTATAGTAGACTAGTTCTATGAATATAAAGGAATGCAATAATAACACTGGTCATTTCACCTCTAAAGTACAAACGGCAACTGAATGAAGTTATTTACGGGTAAAACTCACGACGTGATGGTAGTGATGGTGTGTATATATAGCGTAGTGGCGTGATCTATCGGATGGCATATGTGCTAGACTGATGTTCGTACGGGCCGTATACCGGTCATGTATAATCACGGGAAATTTGCCCAGCAATTTGCGCGTGACGAGACACGTCTCGGTGATTGGCAGTCGCCGTGGGCGTGTCTCAACGGAAAACGTTTAAATTCGGTCGCGCCGAGTAGCCAAAAATTTTGTACGAGCATCTCTAGCAAATGTCTAGCTACCTGGGTAATGAAAGCCGCCCTGCAATGGCCATGTATCACACCGCGTATTGTTCCATGTGTTCCCGCCCTGTATGTGTGAAGGGTCACGTGGTGTGATGGTGGTAGTTGGAAGATGGCGGAACAAGAAGTGTACGAATAAACTATATGTGTGTTATCTTTCACTCTGAGTTATGTTTATACTGGCGTGTTACAGGCCACAACTGCTGAACGCACCGATTATAAGGCTTTCGTGTATACCCAAAGGGATCCGTTTAAGGTGTTGGAAAAAATGCAGCGAAGTTGTGTAAGTGTGCCGCTGCACGGCGTTTTTCGCACTTCGCGCGGATATCCGGGCTGCTAATTGTCCAGATGAGACGAGATACCAGAGAAGTGTTACCGAAAGGAGGTGTTAATCCTTACCGCTGAGCGCAGATCCTGCGCTCAGTTCCGCGGCAAGGCGCGCGCGCCCGCGCGAACGTCCTACGACAGTATGCAGCGCTGGCAGCTATGGATCCGTGCGATGAAAAGCATATGCCGGCGCACGGTTCCATGGCTGCCAGCAAACAGTCCGGAATTTTAGGGGGGACACCGAGGGCAGACATTTGGGTCGTGGGAGGAACTTGCGACTTACATGGGGGGTCGTACAGATGCCCATTTGGGGGGGGGGGCATTTGCGAAGGGATGGATTTGAGGGCACCCCCTTTGGGGGGATCATTCTCTTGGGGAGAATTGCAATCGGGAATTTCGTTCTTTAACTGTAAACCAGTAGTATAGTACTAGTAGTAGTACTAGTAGTAGTAGTAGTAGTACTACTACTACTAGTAGTAGTAGTAGTAGTAGTAGTAGCTAGTACTCTACTCTAGTACTACTAGTAGTAGTAGTACTATAGTAGTAGTAGTAGTAGTAGTAGTAGTACTACTAGTAGTAGTAGGGCACAAGGGTGGGGCTAGAGCATGTCCATGCAGTAATAAACACTACTACTAGTAGTAGTAGTAGTAGTAGTAGTAGTAGTAGTAGTAGTAGTAGTAGTAGTAGTATTAGTAGTAGGTAGGCCTCCTAGGTATAGTAGACTAGTTCTATGAATATGAAGGAATGCAATAATAACACTGGTCATTTCACCTCTAAAGGACAAACGGCAACTGAATGAAGTTATTTACGGCTAAAACTC